AGTAATTAAAAACAATTTAAATGTATTTCTGTAATTTTTTTCAATAGGAATAGTACATTTTAATTTTCTTAAAGCATTACTAATTGCTGGAGTAATTAAATAGATGCCTTTTTTTTGGAAGGAAGCTAAACATTTATGAGTTTTCCTTTTACTTGCAGTTTTCCCCAGACGTTCATTTTATTGTCTCACGTCTGAATCCACATGAATTTTTAATCCGACTTTAAAACATTATAGGATTGGAGTAAACAGTGAATCTTATATTTATAGTTAACTTGTATATCGTTTTCCACTATGATTCATATGCTTCTCTCTGTCACATTCTATCAGTATATGAGTTACTTCCCAAATCCCAGCCAAAGGGGCACATTAGCCCATCTTACGTCTGCTGATAACCAAAAATCTTATTGAAAGCATGATTTTGTATTAAAAATGTAAGAGTAGTTGCTCTTGAGTGTTGATGCAAACGTAATTTTCAGCTGTGTCAAACATTTAGTGTAAGGTTTATTGATGTGATGTGTTACTGGGTGTAATCATCCTCTCTGGCATCTTCTGTATGTTCCTGTAGATTTATTTCTATAAATCTATATAAATTAAAGTAGTCAAGTATAAAATGGTATACTTGACTACTTTCCCTAGACTATAAGCTCCTTGATGCCAAGGACTGTGTCATAATAGGTACTTGGTACATTTTTGATAGATGGTTAAATGAGTAAACAAATCATGGTTTATGTACTTAGTACTTGTTTTTTCAACTGGATTTTAAGCCCCTTGTGGACACTGGATTTTATCTGTGTAGTCTCCCATAGTCCCTGTCATTTTATCTTTCATTATAAAAACCACTTTCTAGTTTAAACATGATTATTTAAGGTTACATTCTGATGTACTTGAGATATTATATCTCCAATCCCTCTCAGAAAGTGTTTAGTAGGCAGTATCAATAAAAACTAGGACTGCCATTTATTGAGGAGTTATTAAGGGCTCTAACATTTATTAAGTCATTTAATCCCTACAAAAACCTATGAGGTTAAATAGTATTATTTGAAAACGGAGATACAGAGTATTGGTAACTTTTCTAAGATTTTATACAGCCAGAAAGTGTCTTGATGAAGAGAAGTATGGGAATTATTTTGGAAAGAGATTTTCAGTGGCTATAAATGTAAGATCTACTGCCCTCTCACTTTGGTTCCTTGATTGATTAAATGTTTATGTGAACTTAAGATCTCTAGGAAAAGATATAGCTGGTCCTCTTTTGGAGATGGGTGCTTAAAGAACCATGTGTTTCAAATGAGGAATATATTGAGTTCTGGCTTCAAAGGAGGAGAAAGAGCTAAGATTAACAGAAAATTTTCTCTCTTTGGATTGCAAAAAAAAAAAATTAAAAATAAGGAATCGTGCTATTTCTGTCCATGTTCAATTAGTTTAGTGCTGCAAACACATATTGAGTACCCACTTTGAACAATATATGCTACCAGGTGCTATGGAAGATGCAAAGCTAAATGAGCTGCTGTCCGTATGTTGATCAGAGGTGCTTGGAAGGCAAGCAAAAGTCTATTTTAGAATTAGTAGAAATTAGTAATAGATAAAAACAGGTATATAATCTCTGGTTGTGAAAAACTTTCCTGAATAGTGTTTTTAAATCCAGATTAAATCAACAGAGTTATTGAATTAGGTATGCACAACAGAGTTAAAAGCATTGAAAGAGTGTAGGCGATCGTTGAGGTTAGATTGAACTGTCTTCAAGGAATCTTTCTGATAGAATGTTCTTACTTTCATCAGGTCTTCAGTTTGGCAGGTCTAGAAACTTCATTGTGAAAATGTTTCCAGAGTTAATCAGGCCCAATGACTCTTACTTGCAGACTCAAAAGCAATAGTCACAAACCAGATGGACTGTTTATTCCCTTATGTACAATTGTCAGGTGTGCCAAAGGACCCTTCAGCACATTCTGTCTCCCATACAACATAGATGGCAGAGTGTTGCTTGGTGAGAATGACCTCAAAGCAGGATGAGTTCGTTGGGTGGATTGTATCATCAAGCCGTCTATTCCAAGAGGACTAGGTTCTTGGGTCTGTTAACCAGGAAACCTCTGGTGATCAGTTCTTGCTCTTGCCCCCCCCCCAATTTTTTTAATAGGCAATAAATACCTCCCTCTGACTTTCTGCTCGGAACTTTTTTTTTTCCATTCCAGGTGTAATCTTATTAGTTAGGGTACAGCTTTCTTTTATAGTCAAACACATTTTCTTAGACTGAACCTGAAAGATCATTTCTTAGGGCGAGATCAGCCATCAGAAGAAGATAAAGTATTGTTTGATGATATAGGTAAGGCGTATATTTCTGTAAGTCTTGCTGTTTCTAGTTTATTCTTTTTTTGGAAAATAAACTTACAGTTTTTAAAATAGGAAAGCATTCACATATATCTCTTAGTTATGCAGACTGATGGAACTCTTAGATATTTTTATCATTAGACCATAATCAAGACGTAAGTGTTTCACTGGAAATAAGATATCCTGATTGTAGACAACATACAATAAACTGTTTCTTATCATTCCTTGAAGAATAAATTTTTCTGGATAGTTGAGTTTTACATATAACTAAGAATTTATCAATTGCATTTATACTGCTTGAAGATAGCAATTATCTTACTGGTGGTCACTAAAGGTATTGAGTCTTTTGTATTGAATGTAATTCTCTGCAGCAAAATCTATTTTAATTATTTTTAGTTTGTTTTTTCTAAAATAGTCCACATTTCCCCGCTTCAAAAAAGCAAACAAAAAGTACATTAAACCTAGTTTGGCACTTGGAAATAACTTGTGGTTTTCAGTGTCCTGCCAGCAGTAACCTCTCTCCTCTTCTAGTTTGCTGTTTGTGTTGTGCTTATGAATGTGATAGTGTGATAACTTGTGTTACTCTGAGTGTGTTGTGTAAGTGCCAGGGCAAAAATTTTGTGACATGTTTGGCTGTTCAGATACAAATTGTACTTTTTTTCTTATATCATAACAGTATTCTGGATAGCTGAGTTTCAGAGAAATAAGCATTTGCCATTTCTAGACGAAAAAGGTAGCCCTTTTTGGCTAGCCTCGCAAATCCTGTTCATAAAGTCGTGGTAAACATCACATCCTTTGATAGAATAACCATGTGTTTATGATGACCTACTAGGTAGTATTCTACTCGTTTCTTGAACCAGATTCTAGAAAGATGTCAAAAGCACTTGAAAATAAAAGCTTTTCCCATATGAAGTCTAAATCCACAGTCTTTAAAGTTGATTCTTTTATTGCCCTTAATAAGTTCTTCCAAGTTGTAATCAAGTTGTAAATTTCTGCATAGTACAAATTTTGTATAATATTAGCTAGTTATGGTAGTCTGACCTTGTAATTGCATTCCTTATCCTGAAATAGTTTCCATCTTTTAAGTATTATCCACAATTGCGATCTTAGGCCATTTTATATACCTTTCCTAATAGCACTTCTTGACTTCTGTCCTATCTTTCCCTTTGTGTTTTTGCACAAGCTATCTTCATTGCTTTGGAACAACCTGTCACCCATCAGTTCTAAGAAACCATTAAAATTACTTCATTCACTTTCTTTACAGATGTGGAACCAGACACCCAACTTCCCTCTAAGTCTCTAATCAGTGTTCTCATGTGTTTGCAGACTGTTTTCACAAAGTACAACATTATTAGGAGGAAATTATGCAACAGAACCAAGAAAGGTTAATTATAAATAGAATTGTCATTGGATACCACGAATTTCAAAGCATGATAGGAAAACTAATGAATATAGAATATATAGCTAACCTACAATCTCTTTACAAATTCCTGGGAAATCTGGAAATGAAACTCTGTTATTAGTTACTAGTCATCTAAAAAATGGACTTATTTTCCCTTTTGTGGGCTAACTAGTTATTTAGCTGTTCATACATGAGAATGTAATATTATGGGCTATTCATGTAACTTCTATAAAAGGTTTTTTTAAGGTAAAAGAGCTTTTTCGTAGTATCATTGGAAGAAAGTTCTACAACCAAAGAAGTTCTTGGGATTGGAGTTGCAACCACAAATATTTGCATGAATAGTACTGCTTAATAACAGCACAGTCCACCTGCTGTTTATGAACAAGCTATTAAAGTAAAGGATAAGAGGAGGAAAACTTCACTAACCTTTTTATATATTTAAAAGAATATATTTTCTCTTGTACTACTTTAAAGTATATTTAAAATGTCAATATATGTGTAAAATAAGGTTGTGTAATTTGCGTTTTGATTATTTGGACAATACTTATCATCACAGTTTCTCAATCTAATGATAGATCTTCCGTTAACATGAATTAAACCAACGTGTCTAGGAGCTGTCTTCTGTTTGCTGGGTTGTTTTTCTTATCTGTTTGTGGTAGAGCCTTATAGAGAACACATACTAAGAAATTGTGTTATTATGAGGAGACTGATTTTTCTGTTGAAAAAAAGGAAATAGTTGTTACCAAAGAACACTAATCAGTTAACTTTACTTTTCAGAGAAATAGATGTTGCAGTGTGGCTGATGCATAGATTGCCTTGTTGAATTTGTGTGTGTTTACAGAAATCCAGAACCAGTAGCACTCTTGTCTCTTGGCAGTTTTCTGTTCATTAGTGCCCTTCATTTGTCATTTTGGTATTTATTTTTTAATGCATGTTCACTGACAGTTGAATTAAAAATAGACACTAGTCTTTTAAAAGAATTATCAAGAAAGCGAGTATAATAAAAGGTTATATTTTAATAAAATGAGAATCCTACAATTTTTGTGAAGTTTTGTAGTTGAATAAATTTTTTTTTTGGCACAATGTAATGTTGATTCTATTTTTCCAAAAGAATTTCAGCAATGTATGTAGATAATTTAAAATTCTTAGTTCCCATATAAACTGTTTAAATCTTCTGAATATTCTCTGAATAGATGAAAAACATCATAAAATAGATATGGAATAAACGCTTGATAACTTTCTTGCATCTGAGTATAATTTTTTCAATTTTTAATAGGATACAACATCTATTGAAAAGATGTCGAACTGTTGTGAAGAAATGTAAGTATAAAAGTGAAGTCTGTAGTGTTCTTATTTAAAAATGGAAACAACTAGCTCCATTTGAAAAATGTGTGTGTGTAGTGGAAAGATAATATAATGATGGCTTTTTCTTGGTGCCTTGTCTAAGGCCTGAGCTAGACAAGCATACCCAGTCTTACAGTAGGGGTCTTCTAGCCATGATAGTTTTCAAACAAAATAAGTGCTGATCATTCTTGCTCCTTGTCTAACTAAAGTAAGTTAAATTATTTGTCCTGAAAGTACATCAAAAGAGGTTTGCTACTGTGTTGTTGACACACATTCTGTTAATCCTGAGATTCTCCTCTGCTTCAAAAGTTGTCCTCGGTTGATTGACGACACAGATACAATATCTGCTATCCAGAGTTAAAACTCAGCTGCATGCCATAATGAAAGAAAAGCTGTATTTGTGATGCTGGGACACAATTCATCAGAGTCCAGTAATGGATCCCCAGCCAACCTGTATTGTTTTAGCTGACTGAAGTGCACCATGGGAGTGCTGTCTTTCACTAATAATGCTGTCTTCTGTAGATCGAGGCCCCGAAAGCCATGGCAGCAGACCTTCTCAGAAGTTTTTGGCACTCGTTGGAAGATCCTGTGGTTTATTCCTTTCAGGCAGAGGCAACCACTGCGAGTTCCCTACCACTTTGCCAATCACGTCTAAACAGATGGATGGTGGGCACAGATGGGTCCTCCATGCTGGAAATGCGTTACAGGTTTTCTGATAATAGAACTATGACAGTCTTCAAGTCAATTAAAATCCACCCACCAATCTTAGGCATCATAATGTGCCCCAGGCTTTATTTTAATAGTGATCTTGATCCTGTTGTGGGACTAATAAAAGATCTATATTTAAGTTTTAAAGCATGTTTACTTTCAAATTAGCGTTCCACAGGGATTTCTTTAAATGCTTTTGTTATTAAACTCGAAAGGCAGTGATTGGGATGAAATAATTGTACATAATTTCTTTTAGTACTGATAATGTTACAGATTTTAATTTATGGGAAATTTCAGATGTTTATTTAAATTTTTCACTCTTAAGCAGTATTAACCAAATCTGAATTTAATTCTTCAGGTTTTACAAAAGTTGATACACCTTATATGTAAATTTTCTTTTTCAAATAGAATTTAAAATACATAATACTTCCTTTTATATGTGCTGCAGGATTTTTTAAAATGCAGCATAGGATTGAACAACAGCAAAACAAAAACAACAACAAAAAAAGGGCAGTGCTTTCTTAGAAGTAGCTTTCTAATGTTGTCTCTTTTTCTCTTCACCAAAAACAAAATAAAAACACCACTAAAATAAAACACCAACTACCTACCTTATTTTAAAGGAAAGATTAAAATTTTTTTCACATTAACTCTCCCGTTTGTTTTCCCTGTACCATTGTAATTATTGATGGTTGTTCAAATATTTGCTCCAAGGAGAAATTTTTGACCAAATGGGCATGTATTCCTATTTTACCCCAAGATTTTGATGAGCAAAAAGGGTAGAGAATTTGCAGTAACTCCACAGATACCTTTTCCAGTGCAGTTATATTAGAATGTGTATGTTTTAAAATGCTAGTATAACTAGATAATACACAATGTACAGTATAAAGAGGAATATTGTGCTTTTGAAAAAATATATATACTTTTTACTTTTATGTTCCTACTAGTAGATCTAAAATTATACATGGAAGGTTTATATATAATAGATATTGGCCAACTAATATTGAAATTTTATTTATAGTAAAAGTAAGTCAGTAACTTTTGTGTGCCTGTAGTGACCCAAATTGAAATTAAATTTTAATTGGCCAACTATAATTTGGATTGAGAGACCTTTTGTTAGTAGCTAATGTTAGGGAATGACCTTAAAAATAAGAAAATATAATGATCTAGAGTTATCATTAGCTTTATACAAATTTAAACTGCTAATAGTGATGGTCTCTTGGAAAGCATAGAATGTTTGTGTGAAAAGACATTTAGCATGCTTTGAAAAAAATTCAGCTTTTAAATTTTTTCCGTTAGAATACTGCAAAATCCATATATCTTTTAAAGATATTTATGTACTCACAGTCTTTCCCTTGAAGAGAAGATTGAAGAGGTCTACTGTTCTTGGAGCATATCAGTATTTTCCTTTTAGTTAGTTTGGATAGTAAGGAATCATACCTAAGAAATCATGAAACAGAAGGTTACCATTGTCAGCCAATTAACTATACTGTGGTTAGTTCTTTCAGAAATTGTAAATATCTTCTAAAATAATGGAATAAGCTCTTCTCAGAGATATAAGTACCATGTCTTTCATGTTCTGATTACAATGCTTTATTATTTAAGCACTTACAAGTGGCAGATGAAAATATTTATTGGTGCCGATAAGATGCATAGTAAATTTAATATGAGAAATATATTTATAGAGCTTAATGAACCACAAAATTAGTATGTTTGTGTCAGGCACATGGGTTGGGTTTTGTGCAAGCTAATGTACTGACCAATTTGGTCTGGTGGCAGAACTGCTATAAAGAAGCAATGTAGAGATAATATAGATAACTATCAGTTGAATGCCTTATGTTGTATACATTCCTTTCAAATGAGCACCTTGAGAAAACAGCAAAGCCAAGTGACAACACCCTAAAGAGCTTTATGGACGTATTTATACTTCATATATTAGCCGGAGCTACCTTTGAAAAGTACCTGGGAGGTACTCAGTGCCAACCTCTGCCTCAGTAATAAGAACCAGAGGCTGTTCCTTTCCCACTCTGAGGGCTTTTGTTTTTGTTGTTCTTAGATTTACCACTGCTAGGACACATTCTCTTCCTTCCTTTGTCTTTATTCTCCCTGGTCCTGATCCCTCTGTACCTGATTCCTCTAAGTCACTGGAATACAAACTAATACACTAGGCAAGGCAAATATTTATTTTGTTTGAATGGCAGAAATGCTATATATCAATATATTTATATAAGAATCTATATTAAAGTATATCTATATATATTTGTGCTGTAACTTTCAGTGTTCCCAAGTTAGCACACCTGACTGTGGGTTTTCTCATTCTCGGTAGACAAGAGAAACCTGCTGGCAGTTTCCTGGGAAGTGCATACAGGCTAGTGTTCTCTCTGCGCCCTCTTTTGGCTAATTGATGTAATTATAGTGGCTCTAGAGATTTACTGCCCCACAAGTAAGTTGTATAGCCAGATTCTGAACATGTCAAAGGTGCAAACTTAGGGGGAGTGTACGGACAAAAATGTAAGATTTTATGAAAATGAATGTGTTCCTATTTATGATGTCAATGTCTAGTTCATACAAATATGATGACTACTTTGCTTCATTTATGTATATTCTTTTTATATTTTTTACTATCAATTATAAATTTATATCAGATCAGGATAAGCAAATGTAAACCGTTTCATGAACTTTATTTTAAACCTTATTTTGGCAAATTAAGTCCTTAGAGTTAGAAAAGCCATTACCTTAAAATTACCAATTTATTACAAAACACAGAAATTTATTGTAGTTACAATGACAAGCAAGTATCTAATGTGTTTTACTGAATATCTGCCAAAAAAAACATTTAGTTTTTTTTAATCTCAGTTTTGGAATGATTTTTTTAATTGATTCTATTGCGTTAAAATAGTAAGAGATTGTTAATTCTTTCTATACTTTTCTTCATTCTTTTTTAACTTGCTTACTCAGAGTTATAGCTGTAGCTTTAGTAGCCAATTTATTCTGTTTTCTGGCTAACCTTGCAAATAACTAATGATGTTGAGTATTAGAAAATAATTATGAGCAGTGAGATTACTGATGTAATCTAAATATTGGGTGAAGTATTTTCTTATAAACATTCCATTTCATTTTAAGCAAAATGTATGTTAAAGGATGTGTTACATCAGCAAAGTCATTAATTGGGCAACTGGAAATGGAAGATTTTTACCTAGGTATTATAACTTAACGCCTCTTGAACAATTATATTTGTTGTTATTCTTTTCTGTAAACAAAAGAGTTTATGGGCTCAAGATCATAGGCAAAAATTGCCTGAATTCAGAATCCCCCAAACAGTAGGCATTCAGTTAAAGAGCTCTTGGTACTTTGTAACCAAGACTTATAGTTTAAAAATATTAAGTTAACTGATGTTCCATTATAAGAAAAAGGCTATTTTGCTTGAGTTGGATTAAAAATATTGGTGGTTAATATAAGAGACAGCTATATTTAAAATTTTAGTTAACATATTAATCTCTTTTAACAGAAGAAAGCATAGTTTACTTTTAATAGTAAGAAGTAGAGAACATAAGCATGCATAAAGTTCAGTATAACAGCTAAGTTAACACTTCTGTCAGAATGAACATCAGTGCATTTTTGCTAATGCTTAGATTTTTCTCTAAGGGTGGTGGCCAGTTATAACTATTCTTCGTCAGCCTTTTTCAAGTCACTTACATAGATGTAATTAGTTAAAGATAGGTTTCACTCAAAAGGGTATATTAATTCTGAATGCTAATCATGAAGACTTAAGTTAGGGCAGCACTTCTAGCCAGGAAATGTGAAGTAATTTAGATTATGGCTGCACAATTTTCTATGTGTTAGACCATGGGGCAGTTCAAGTGTTCTCGCATGTGTTGCTATGAAATCAGTGTGTCCAGCCCTGGTTACAGTGGCGTTAATATTAACAGAGCTGCTAGTCTCTCCCTGGACTTTTCTCTAGTCTCTGACTGCTTCTCCCCTTGTGCTTCATGTGTGAATAGATTACCTAGCTCAAGTTTACTAAACTATTGCTGCTTCATTAAGTAGGTTTTTGATGTGACCTCTAATATACGTAGATATATCCAGAATTTATTTGGTAAAGTTTACAATTACGAACGTTAAATAATTGACTAATAGATACAAGTATTAGATTTTTTACCCAACACTACTACTATTACTTTCAAAAATATAAATATTGGCAAATGTAGTTAGTAAGTCATGTACATTTAGTGTGTTCTGCTTGCTAGTATTATTAACCATATAATTAACAAATGAATGAGTGTATTATTTAATGTCCACATCTGTTACCTTCTGTTCTAAGAATTCTCTGGATTTATCTATCAATCACAAATTTCATTATGCTCTGACTTTAGTTAGCCATTCTCAATTGAATTCTAAAATATTCTACAGTTGAATGTGAGAAAGTAATAGAACCAACTTGCTTGAAGTATTTTGAACCAACGTTGTTATTCTACATATCAGTCAATATTTAGCATTTCTGCTGCCTTTGGGATGATGATGATTCAGCTTCAGGAAAGTGACAGTTTTCTCTGACTTCTCCTTTCATTATCATTGTGCAATTTTTAACAGCAAACTTTACTGCCTTTTTGTCTGTTCTTCAAATGTTGTAATACTGCCTGCTAGTGCTAATTTGAAACAGAGATAACAGTGGTATTTAAAATTTTTAAGTCATTGGTACTGGCAATATTTTCCATTATCATTATATTTTTTACTATTATTATGTCATTTTTCCCTTGTCCACCATAAAAGACAGGTTCAAATCAGTAGTGAGTAGCCAAAATTAGATAAAGAGAGTAGAGGAACTTATATTAAGATGGAGCAAAGGCTAGATGGAACATGGATAATCAACATCTCAGCAGCAGGGTTGACTGGATAGTTTCTGTGACATCAGAAAATCCCCTGCTACAATCATCGTAGCCTCATCTCTTGTTGATACCGTTTTACTGTAAGAGTTGTGAATGCACATAAGCATTTAGTTTGAGTTATTTTATCTAAGGAATTTCTATTGCTGATTCTTTTCAGCTGGTCAGATGCCTTTGAAACATTATTTAAAATTTTAAGTATCTTAATTGTGTAGTGTATGCTAATCTGAAGTGTTAAGAATAATGTGAAAGGTGCAGGTGTTTAATGCTGAGGAGAAATGAATAGGTTGTCCAAAGTTTGATTGAAAAAGCTGGGACCTTTTTTTCCAAGTGTCCTATTGTCGAGAAAGGGTACTAAGCATTGTAGTAAATTTTGTTACCAGAGGAAAAATCAACAATTTGTATATAAAGGGTGATTTTCACTTTAAAATTTTGGCTATTTTGGAGTTCTTGATACTTGAAGGTCTCCATATCTATTGGTATCGGGAATACCTGTAGCATGTAACGTAGCACTTGCCACAGTTGTTCAACCCTCTGGTCTTTTTGGTATTGATAGCTTTATATGTAAGATGTGGACAAAACAGCAACAAGAAAAAGTGTGTTTCTTTTTGTGGCTTTGCTTGCCTCTTGGACCAAGTACAGGGTTTAATTGCTTAGGCTGTTAGCTAAAGGGACAGCTTGTCTGCAGGGTGTAAGCTCTGTGTTCTTGCCTGTGTGCATGGGGTGATATTGAACCTACTGGTGCCTGAAGTTAGTGTTTTACACCCTCAACAACTAACACATCCTGGTGCTACTCTAGCTCTGAGTGACATTTTTAATTCCTGTACCAAAGAGTTCATTTTCTTTTTGGTTGACTGAGACTTTTCTTCTCACATCCTTGTGTTTATAAAGTAGAATTTTATGTTACTAAGAATAATTTTGATTAATAGATCTTAGTTTTTGCACACTGCTGCCTCAACTTAATTGGTTTTAAATGTCTCTCATTTGGACATTTTTTTTAAGTTAGGCAGATTAGCATCGTTTTTCATTTTGTATGTTAGCACAGATTGGCTACTTTAAAAGGTATTTTAATAGGTTACAAAAGATAATTGAAGCACTTTTCACAAGATTTGTTTTGTTTTATTTCTGTGGGAAAATGAGAAATAATAATAACTCTACTTTTATTTCTGTAAATGAGCTATATAGGTTATGGGGCCCTTTTAATGGATGTTGAAACAAAATTCAAAAATGAAAAGTTAAGGGCCCTTCTGATTACAAATGAAGAATTCTGTGTGTGTGTGTGTGTGTGTGTGTGTGTGTGTGTGTGTGTGTAATCCTTAGTGGCATTAAAGAAGGATATTGCTATTTGTCTATTTTGCAAATAAAGATAAAATTAAAGAACAGTTTTAAAATATACATATAATATTTGCAAAATTAAAGAACACTTTTAAAGTATACATATACATATATATATAAACACTTGCCCAAGAGGAAATGCAAATATACTTTGATTTAAGCAAAACAACTTCACAAAAATAAAAGGTCTGGATATTGTTACTCACTTTACATAAAAAGTTAGAGTAAGACTATCTTAAACACTAATTCTGCTTAGTGATTTCTTTTACAAAAAATGGGAGAAAACACACTTTAGAAGTACTTGTAATTGTCTAAATGTAGTACTGCTTTGTATACTATTCTGATTCCCTATTTTTTCCACAAACTTTCAAAACACTCATTTAGTGTCCTTAAAACTGTAGCTGAAATGGTTAAAACTTCTGGCAAGAAGATACAGCGTGCATGTATTGGAAAAGTAGACAATCACATTTGAGAATGTTTTGCGTTACTTTCAATCAATTAAAATCAATCTCTCTTTGAATGTAGATACAGTATATGGTTTTGCAGTGAATTCTGAATGGAAAAAAAGAATCAAGTCTGAAATTTATGTGAAACCTGACTTAGGATCATTTTAATGATGTATAGAAATACAGATGTATGTGTCATTAGAGGTAAAAGCAAAATTTGTTTGAAAGCAAAATGGGAAGAAGCAGCAACATTATGTCTCTCTGTCAACAATATATTTCCTAGATTTTGTTGCCGCAGTATCGGTT